CGGGGGGAGCGGGGCGGCGGTCGCCTGAGGTGAGGGGCTGCGTGGTGGGGTGGGTGAAGGAAGGAGAGGTCCCGGTCGGGCACGGGGGGAGCGGACGCGCGAGCGGTGCTGGCGGCGGAGTGCGCGAGCAACGCGGGGCTGGTTGTTTTTCTTAAAACCGTGGCAGTGCGCTCTGCGGCTGTTCTGCAGCGCCGCAGTAAGCAGGCTTTAAATAGCCTTTCCTCCCGTTTACACGGGAATATGAACGAAGGCTGCGAGATAAATTCTTAAAAGTTATTTTAGGTACATCATGGGTATGGTTGAAACGTTGTTGGAGGCAATCAAAATGAATGGCAGGCCATGCACTCTTACTCTAGGTCATACATAAGGCTGTACCTGTTACAGAAAATACTTTTAATGTTTTCCTAACACTTGTCTTAATACGCATCCTGTAAAGTCGTCATTCCTGCAGAGAAAGGCTTTATTCCCATATACAGCTCATCGTGGTTTTATGGAAGAAGTTGGGTAAGGTCAGCGTGATGGTACTTGCAGCAGGGCACAGAAGGGAAGGGACGAGCACCGTGTAAGCAAAAGCACAGGAGGGTGGTGCCTGTCTGCGCAGTAGGGACAGGATGAAAGTCATAGGATGTAAAATGTCAGAGAATAGTATATCCTCAAGTGTAGTGACTGTAAAGTTATGGGCTTAAAATGAAAAAAACTTGGACTGTCAGGGAGAATCCCTACGTGTTCTTCTCAGCTTGTGAAATATTCCTTAAGGCCTGTTGTTAGGGGTTCCAGTGTTCTGGACTGCCAAAACACAGTATGCTTGAAACAAACAAACAAAAAACCCAGCCAAAAATACAAACAACACCACCCCCCAATTCTGCTATTCTTTGCTGCAAGTATAAACAAAATGGAGTGACTTAGGTCACTTGGTTTAAAAATAAAAACAATTTTGAAAAGTCTTGCCCTGTTTTGTCTGAGATTTCCTGGTAAGAAGAGATTCTAAACTTTTCTCAACTAGCAACATTAAAAAAAAAATCAAATCTTTTTAGTTTGGTTGTTTAAAATTGAGGCTTTGCATATAAGCATAATTAGAATAATGAGCATTAATTTCTCAGACACTTTAACACTTGTTAAATGTGTGTTTTGCTTCAATGAAATAACCTGGGCTTAACTTACATCTACCTATTCATCTCCAGGGCTAAAATTTGTAATTTCACTTAAAAGTACTTCGTCTAAAATGTTGCAAGACTTCTAATGATGTTTAAAGTATGCTGAGACTAAAGGTCTCCCTGGAGGCCAAGGCCTGCATTTTGTAGAATACTTGAAGTTTAGTTTTTTCTGTAATGAAAGTAAAGAAAATGAAAGTAAGTCTCTCAAAATGGATGTGACTAAATCAGCTGGTTTTGTGGTTTTCTTGTTTTTCTTTAAGATCTACCACGATGCCTGGGTCTCTGCCAGTGAATGCTGAATCATGTTGGCCCAAAGATGTGGGGATTGTTGCACTGGAAATATATTTTCCCTCTCAGTATGTTGACCAGACAGAGCTGGAGAAGTATGATGGTGTGGATGCTGGGAAATACACCATTGGGCTAGGCCAGTCAAAGATGGGGTTCTGCTCCGACCGTGAGGATATCAATTCTCTCTGCTTGACTGTGGTTCAGAAGCTCATGGAGAGGAACAGCCTTTCCTATGATTGTATCGGGAGATTAGAAGTTGGAACGGAGACGATAATTGATAAATCAAAATCCGTAAAGACTGTCCTGATGCAGCTTTTTGAAGAATCTGGTAATACCGATGTAGAAGGAATTGACACCACCAATGCATGCTATGGAGGCACTGCTGCTCTTTTTAATGCTATTAATTGGATTGAGTCCAGTTCTTGGGATGGTAAGTCCAGGGAATTTTCTTGAAAAGTTACATCATCCTCTGGTTTTCAGTAGTCTGCCTTACAATGACAGTGTTCATGTTTAACCATACAAAACCCAGAGCGTAAAGTGTTTCTGTCTTCTGAAACCTTTTTCTTGAATGCCATGGACATTTGCCACTAGCTCAGTTACAGTGCAGAAAATAATGGCATGGCTAATAATCACTGGTCTTTTCCTGTAAATTTTGGTGGCTGCCAGGAAATTGAAATGTGGGGTAAAAGTCAGGATTGAAGAACCCGTTAATCTTGGGGTCATCTCTTCTGTAACCAAAGTCTAAAAATTGCTGATGGATGTTAAAAAGCGCTAGATTCTTGTCTGTTTCTCATCGTTGTTTCTGTCTGTTTCTCGCAGGGCGCTATGCACTTGTTGTTGCTGGAGACATCGCTGTGTATGCCACGGGAAATGCCAGGCCAACAGGTGGAGCTGGTGCTGTTGCTATGCTTGTTGGTCCAAATGCTCCGTTAATTTTTGAGAGAGGTTAGTCCTGTGAGAAAATTAATACCAGTCAGCCAGATAACTGGATCTGTTCTGAAGCCTGTCTCCTCTTTATTGTGCATTGCTGGGGAGATGGATTAACTTCCACTAATGTCAGAAGTTGTACTTGGTCTCTTCTTGCTGTAGGAGAAGCAGCAAGGAATAGGTAGAGATGCTCCTATCCATGTATTTCCTTGGGGATTCTCTGGTAAAGTTGACGAAGAGGGGACTAGAGCTGAGTAACAGAGTGCTCTACTTCCAAGGCAGAATGATGAAAATAATTTAGTTACTTGTGTTTGTTATACTCGTTCCTACTGTACTGAACAAGCAGTTGAGAATTGTGTGAAACGTTACCTTAAAGGGCCTGAAATGCTGTGAATGCCTGCTTGACTGTAGCCAAATATTTCTTGTTTCCCCTCATGTGTTAAGTGATGCATTCAAATTGACTCAAAGCAGCTGAATAAAATAATTTTCAACTTTTGTCAATTTCTGTCCATCAGGGTTGCGGGGAACTCACATGCAGCATGCATATGACTTCTACAAACCAGATATGGTTTCTGAATATCCTGTCGTTGATGGCAAACTATCTATACAGTGCTACCTCAGTGCGTTAGATCACTGCTATACTGTCTATCGAAACAAAATCCATGCCCAGTGGCAAAAGGGTATGTAGCCTCACGTGATGATATTGCAAGATTTGTTTGTGTTTGTGTGTTCCGAGGCAATTGAAATGTTTGCTCTCCCCCATAAGAAATGTCTTATTTCTGTTTTGGTATGGCTGAGTACCTGATAGTAACCAGTAGTCTCTACACACTTCTGTTAGTGTTAAGTATGATACCTTGCTTAAAAGCGTGTTACTCCTCCATCCACCCAGGCTCTTAAGATAGTGCAGTTAATATTTAGATGTTACATAATGATACTGATTTTTTTCACCCCATATGTTTAGTAATTACTTCACTCATATTAAGAAACATAGGTATGAAGTTTAGATAGTTAAGAGGGTGATTATTATGTCAAATGTTGGGTAGAAATACAGAGATTCTATTAAGCTTTTCTAGCTTATTCTTCTAGAAGAAAGGTGAACATTGTTAGTTGGTGCAAAAATTCAGTAGGAAACTAATTTTTAAATAGAGGTAGCAGCAGTGTTTTAAATGAACTTGAACAGCAATAGTTAGTCTTAATGGTTGTCTGTTGTACACTGACATGTTATGATGAATGGTATCCTGCCACTCCCCTATTTTATTTTCATAGTTGAAGTGAGTACTAAACATAAGTTGTAACACAACATTTCTGCCACTTCCAGAGGGCACAGACAGACGTTTCACCTTGAATGACTTTGGATTCATGATCTTTCATTCTCCCTACTGTAAACTGGTACAGAAATCTGTGGCTAGACTCTTGCTCAATGACTTTCTCAGTGACCAGAACCCAGAAACAGCAAACGGTGTTTTCAGTGGTCTGGAAGCTTTCAGGTGAGAATGGCTGCTGTCTTCCTTATTCATATAATCTTAATTAGTTACACGTCCAAGGTATGTTTTTACTTTCTGCTATTTTAGTAACTTTCTGAATTATTTTTTTTTCAATAGGGATGTAAAACTTCAAGATACATATTTTGACAGAGATGTGGAAAAAGCTTTCATGAAAGCTAGTGCAGAGCTCTTCAGTCAGAAAACCAAAGCTTCATTACTTGTATCCAATCAGAATGGAAATATGTATACCCCTTCAGTCTATGGTTGTCTTGCCTCTCTTCTAGCACAGTAAGTATAAAAATCGGGAAAAAAAAGTCATAGCTTTTTATATATATAATGTCATAAAAGATTTTTGTTTCAGCAAGCCTTTTGTAAAAGCACTATCTAGCAAACCTTTTCCTACTAGGTTGCCTTAAGCAGAAAGACTAAAGTTAATTATTCTGCACACAAAGTGACCAGCAGATTCAAAATTTCTGTGTTGGAAGCTGATCTGAAACAGCTGCTTACTACTTCTGAAGTAGGATCTTATTTGTAAGGTGGTGTCTTTTCCCAGTCTCAACCTTCTTCCCTGCCCCTGTTCCCCAAGAGGAAAAAAAAAAAAAAAAAAATCAGAATGCCTTCTCTGTTTCACTATAATAAGCAAAGCCAAATTAAATTAGTGTTTCCTTTTAGAAAATCACGTTAAGTTTAAATTAAACTATTCCTCTTGGATCCTTTTTTCTTTATTCTGACTTTGCCTTCCAAGATGTGGTTGTTCATTTTGGGCTTTAGGTCACTTAATGAAAACTGTCTGCCTTCTAGATAATCATATTCTGGGCATTTCTTTGCTTTGTTTTGGTTAGGTAGCTTTGGAACTCATCACATAGCAATAGTGTTGGAAACTGTTTTTGAAAGTCACCATTTATGCACACAGCGTACTAAATATGTATTGTAGTCAATATAATTTCTGGCTGCCTTTTCTAAGCTAGCTGCACTTTCTAGGTATTTAAAATTGGCACCTTGACTTGGTTCTCTCTTTAAAACAACTGTTGCTCAATTTGCAGGTACTCCGCAGAGCAGCTTGCAGGACAGAGAGTTGGTGTGTTCTCTTATGGCTCTGGTTTTGCTGCTACGCTGTATTCTATCAGAGTTACACAGGATGCCACTCCTGGTGAGTGAAGGGAAGAGATCTTATTAACCCCCTTGCACAGCTCACCTCTAAATGCCTCCTTATGCTACCTGCCAGCATATGTAAACCTGCAGAGCAGTGCCTAATGACAGTAGTGCTAAACTGAGTATGTCCCAGCTCCAGGGAATGTTTAAAAGTGTCTCCTCAGGCAAATAAATAATATTCATCAAGCTCTGTTAACATTTTGATTGAGTAATTTGGAATATTTTTAAATGACTAAAAGTTTAGCTTTCATAATGCAAAGTATTTTGAATGGGCTTGAAATGCTAACATGCTCATGTGCAGTTCTCAGCACTGGTGCTACCTTACATGATGGCCTTATATTGTAGGTTCTTCACTGGACAAAATAACTGCCAGTCTTTCTGATCTCAAAACAAGACTTGACTCAAGAAAATGTATTGCACCTGATGTCTTTGCTGAAAACATGAAGATTAGACAGGAGACACATCATTTGGGTAAGAACTTTATAAATATAAATCATTCCTATTCTTACAGCAAAATGCTCATCACTTAGTTTGCCTGACTTTAAATGATTAAGGTGTAGAATGAAGGAAATGTCCAACCCTTTCTACTTTGAATAGCTCATGTTCATTGGCCCAGTGTGGCTGAAATGAAAATGCAGGCTTGTTTTTTCTGTCTTACTGTGTCTAAACTGCAAAGGCCTGGGTTGTGTAAAACTCTTACCAGGAACCAACTAACAGGGTGCTACTGGCTTTTTTTCCAGCCAACTATATTCCACAGTGTTCAGTAGAAGATCTTTTTGAGGGAACATGGTACCTTGTGCGTGTGGATGAAAAACACAGGAGAACTTACGCGAGGCGCCCGCTCATGGGTGATGGACCTCTGGAGGCAGGAGTTGAAGTTGTCCACCCAGGTCTTGTCCATGAGGTGAACACTCAGCACTCTTTTAAAGTTTGATACAAATGGTGGAACAGTTTATGTGCTTGCCTTAGCATGTGCATGTATTTTAAAAGAAGAAGTGGTTTAACAAGTTACATTAAATACTTTGTTAACATGTAACATACAAGCCAGCAGTAAAAAACTGAACGTGGGACTTTAAAAAGTACGTTTCATCATAACAAGAATGAAACTTCACAAGAATGATGCAAGAACAAACTGGCTCTTTTCACATAATCAGTTTGCATGAGGCATGAGCAGTTTGCTTGACTTTAAGACCAAGCCATCCAATTTAGCATGTATGTTGTTTGAGAGTTGGACTAGCCATGAAGTATGAATGTCTGTGAACTAGAAAACTGTATTTAATGATTTTTTTTCCCTTCTTCTTAGCACATCCCAAGCCCTGCTAAGAAAGTGCCAAGAATCCCTGCAACAACAGAATCTGAAGGCGTTACTGTTGCCATTTCCAATGGGGAGCATTAAGATACCTCTGTGAGGTGGGGAATGACATGAGGTGTGAGGGTAGGGTGAGAGAGAAAGGATTGCAGTAGTGCTAAAGTTTCAGTATACCATAGTACTTCATTGGAGCATGGAAAAACTGTTTAAGCCCCTTGAAATTTGTCATAATATGGTGTGCTGATATTTGTAGTATTTTCAGAACACTAAAATTATGAATATATTGGGGATAGAGGACTTGCCATGGGCTCTATGGATTCCCTGACATGTCTGAATTTTTTTAATTTCTGAGTAGTAGCTGTAGTCTGTTACAAGGTCTTTGTACAGAGGAAAAAAAGAATCTTCTGCTTGCTCTTTCCATGTAAAATGACTTGAAAACTACACTGTTAACTTCTACTTGTACTCAAGTGTGTGGCAAAATAGTCCAAGCTTTTAATGTTAGGGTTCTCAGTGCCTTGACAGTAAGCAGTCTATCTTCTCAATGCTGCACTTCTTCTCTTTCCCTTTATCACCTTCCCTTTCTTCTCCCAGTCTACCTCCCATCACCCCATTGCTTTGGGAAAGGTATAGAACCAAGTAACATTCATTGCTGAAATAGAATCTCCCCTGTCAAAATTACTGGATCAAGAACAACGAGACTGACAGGTGGTTTTCTTCCAAGAAACCCTGTGACTTGCTGTGCTAAGTTATACATAATTCCTCCTAAAATCCATATTATGTGTTTTATACCTGCATGATAAATCACAGCAGCCTGGGAGGATAAAGAAGGGAGATAGAAATTCTTTTCTTCTAAAGAAATGGGTTCATTGATTTGGTATCTTTTAGGATTGTTTTGTAGAATTAACTAAGGCAGCAGAATTTTAAAATAAAACTTCTAGATATTATGGAGCTGTTTTAATTGGCAAATGAAGGAAGGGAGGAAGATCACTTTGTCTGGAGCTCTGGCCTCTCGCTATTCTTTATATAATACATCTCTGAAAGACTATTAGGCTGTTCGGAAATTAATTTCCGTTTTGTAATGTGATTTTCATTGTACATGTTTCAGGAATAGTACCTTTTCGACTGGCATAGTTATGTATTTTTGAAAAGCTCATGCTATGAAATTTCATGCTGTATAATTATAATATAAACTGCATTTTTGACAAATTTCGGAGGTTTGAAGTTCAGATGTCAAAACAGCAATTTCAACAGATCTACGAGGTCAAACTCAGATCTAATGCAGTGCAAGCTGCTCAAAACATCAATGAGGTATATGGCCAGGGAAGTGTTAACGAACGGACAGTGAGACTTTGGTTCCAAAAATTTCGACGTGGCAATTTCGACCTTGAAGATCAAGAAGGTCACGGACGTCCTTCTGCTATTGACGACGATGAATTGAAGGCTCTGGTGGAAGCAGATACAAGCACAACTGTTCGAGAACTTGCAAAAGAACTCGGGGTGAGCATATCAACTGTTTCTGAGCGTCTGAAGAAGATTGGAAAGTCAAAGAAGCTCGACAGATGAGTGCCACACGAACTGAATGAGAATCACAGAAATCGCCGTTCTGAAGTGTCTGTCGTCGGCACTTCTTTTTAGCAACCAGAACGATCTGTTTCTCGACTGTATTGTGACGATCGGCCAGTGACGATCAGCTCAGTGGTTGGACTGTGATGAAGCTCCGCAGCACTTCCCAAAGCCAAATCTGCACAAAAAAGAAGATCATGCTGACTGTTGGGTGGTCTGCTGCTGGTTGAATCCATCACAGCTTCTTGAATCTGGGTGAAATGATCACAGCGGAGAAGTACGTCCAGCTAATCAATGAAATGCACCAGAAACTGCTACAGCTGCGCCCAACACTGGTCAACAGAAAGGGTCCAATCCTTCTCAACAGTAATGCATGGCCACATGTTGCACTTTCGATGCTGCAATGGTTGAACAAGCTGGGCTACGAAACTCTGCCTCATCCATCATACTCGCCGGACCTCTTGCCCACCGACTATTATTTCTTCAAGCATCTCAACAGCTTCCTGTGTAGGAGATGCTTCAGAAACCAAGGAGAGGCTGAAACTGTCTTCGATGACTTCATCGCTTCCAGAAGTCCAGAATTTTATGCAACCAGAATAAATATGCTTGTTTCTTGTTGGCAAAAATGTGCTGATTCTAATGGTTTTTATTTCGATCAATAAATTTTATTCTGAGCTGAGATATGCCACTTCAAACATACAGGTTGAAATCGGCAATTAATTTCCGAACAGCCCAATATTTCTAACTTTAAATTTGACTTTGTACTTTGAAGTCTTTCTCACTATTGGTAATATTGTAGGAGTGGAGTCTTTTACTTTTTTTTTTTTTTTTCCCAACATGCAAGCTGAAAGCTATCCATTCTGCAAGTAGTAGCAAAACAGTGCTAATGGGGAGTCCATTCTGGTAGATTTTTAAAGCCCAGATTGGAAATGAACTATGATATGAGCCTTGTAAGCTTGTAATATATACTTAAATTGAGCTAATGTACAGAATGAAGTTTTGTTGAATTTGTTTCTTTGCTAATTCTACAAAGCTACATTGCCTAATATAACGTAGCAAAAAATGATTTGTCTGTTAAATTACTTTTTTTTGTGTGTGTAATGAAGTGTTTGTATTATGTCATTCACTAGGATTTGATAGCTTGCTGTATTTGTACAGTCAAGCCTTGGTAAAATAGTTGTTTATTATAAATTGATGAATACTAATCTGTTTGTTCTGCTGGAAATGATGGAGCGATGATGCATGATGATAGTATTTGCAAGTATTTTGGTTTAGGTTGCCCTTGTGAAACTTTATCTTGGCACCAGAAAAACAGATTGCCATGGAACAAAGTCCATTGCTGGCAGTGGACAAGCCAAGAAGTGAGCTACTGGCACAAAGTTAACCACAGGGACCTCATGGTCTGCGAGGCTGATCCTTTATTAAAATAAAGTTTGAGATATTTGAAACCTGTTGGAATAGTGCTGACTTGTTGGGTTTTCAGGAAGAAAAAGGGAACTGGCCCTGTGAAAACCCAAGGTTGTGAGTTCACAATCTGTATGGACCTTCTGGATCTTTCTTCCTACTACCATTCCACTACAAAAGTGGAAAGAAAGGGTTGCTTAGGCTGGTGCAAAACAATTATTTCAGGGCCGTGTTTCAAGATAACTTACATGCTTTCATATGGAAACTGTTTATAGTGGAGGAGTTAATTCCCAGCTTATGAAATACAATCAATCTTTATTACTGTCTTATAAAAGATGGTATTGTTTTATCCCCCTCAAATATTGTGAAGGGATGTTGGTTCTTGCTCTGTAGTTACCTGAGCCTCACCGTGTCCAGTTCCCCAGGGTGACTTCTCAGAGTCATTCTGTTGCTTAGTTACATTACTTAAAGTCAACTGATCATCTCATCACTCCCCATAATAGGTAAGGCATCCTGCTCTTAAATTTGAAAGAACCAGCTGTACCTCTCTAAACCTTGTATTCATTTACTTGCCTTAATTAAAACCATATAGGCTCTACCTCTTAGGTTAGGCATGTCAGCTCTGCCAGTCAGAGAAGGACAGCTACTTTAGTTTTGCACCATATGATTTGGAGCTGATGGTGTTGAAGATTAAAGTATAAAATAAGCAATTAAAGCTGAAAATCAGAGTATCTACATCTTGGTGATGCTCAGAACAATTGGAGTTGTAAGGCTATCCAGCTTTTAATTTGCAGTGGCTAAGAGTGTCAAAATTATCTTGGTGCCAGCCTTTGTTGGCAGAGTGGCAGGGCAGGAGATAGTACAAGCCTGTAATGCTCAATATATAAGCGTATTTTGTTTCATTCAGATTAATGATACCTAGTGCTAAAGCAAGAATTTAAAACTGTGGGGTTTAGAGTATGCTTAAATCTTTCTTTTTTGGTGTGCAGCTGGAGTCCAAGTAGTTCTAGACTGTCAGAATTGTGCAAGTAATGGAAGGTGTCAGCATATTAGTAGCTGGTAGCCCAACCAGTTATGTAACCACCCATCAGGGTTAAAGCAGCATATCCTAATTTGCCTTTCTGAATTGTGAAAAATTGGGATCTGTGGTCAATAGCAGAATTGCTGTTTCTTGAAATAAAATTAAGAAGCTCTGATATACATTTTATCATGTTTAATTTGCTGAAGAAGTTTTAAAGAAGAATTTGCAGTTGTTTAGATTATAGTCTGATTTCTGCTTAAATTTAGTTCTCTGCAAAAATTGTCCTGGTTTGCAGTGATATAGTTGTGTTAAGCTGAGGTACAACTTTTCAAGAAGTTAGCTGTTACATGTCTGTACTCAGAATCTCCCAATGTGTTAAATGCAGTACTGTTTGATTTTTACTAAAAGATCACCTCCACTAGTGATCCCTGTTCTGCTTACTGGGATTGTTGCACTGGCTATACATGTCTCTGGAGCAAGGGACAAACAAATGCATGAGAGCTCTGTATTTGAGCGCTTCACTGTGACTTGAGAACTGCAAAGGAGATGAGGCATTTCTGGTTTATTCAAAAATTGCAAAAAATGTAACACCAGAACTTGTGAAAAGTGAATAAAACCCTTTGTTAAATGTGCTGAGTATACAGCCTGCAGTGCAATTTATAAAATAGAACACAGCTTGGATGCATGCTTCATCCCACTGTAAGAATGGATTCCTCTCCTCAAGTCTTCTTTGGGGTCTGGGTGGGATGTGATAGGAACACATTCAAGTGCCCTTTTCTTCTGTACTTTGTGCAAAACAATTCTGTAGACCCCTGTTATTGAGCTGCGTGCATCTCTTCCCTGGTTATTTTGAATGTGCTCTTCTGTGATTCCCAGATCTTCCAGAATATTCTTCACTTCGATTTCTTCCTCTTTGAGTGTAGTGATGTCTGATAAATACTTTGGATCCAGTTTAAATGGCTGTAAAGGTCTGGGATACTGTATTCCTTGCATCCATTCACTGTTCATAATAAGTTTGACAGAATATCGTTCGGTTGGTACTGGCTGAAGGACTCCTCTTATCAGTTTCTGGCAAGTTTCTGAGAGGCAGGGAGGCAAACTGTATGTCCCTTCAAGAATGCACTTTTTCAGTTTGGCCACTGTATCTGCCCGAAATGGCATGATACCCGTCATCATAAAGTATAACAGGATTCCCAGTGCCCAGATGTCTACATAAATGCCAACATAGTTTTCATCTCGGAAGAGTTCAGGGGCAGCGTAAGGAGGAGAGCCACAGAAAGTATTTAAAGTTTCATCTCTTCTGCTTATTGTGCTGAATCCAAAGTCCCCCACCTTAACACAAGTGTTACTGGTGTAGAAGACGTTTTCTGCCTTCAGGTCCCGGTGAATGATATTATTCTCATGCTGTTGAACAAGAGGAAAATCTGGTATTAGCTTGTTCATAGGCAAGTTCTCCAGTGACTAGCTCTTACCATCAATTAACTGCCACACAGGAGAAAGGAGTTATCTTGGACAAAGTCAGAAATAAGTATTGCAATAAAAATCAAAGTATTTAAACAATTCTCTATTGATACAAACCTAATAGAGTAGGTGGAGAAGATGGGGAAAAGAATGGGGTTTTTTTTAAGAATAGCAGCTATTTTAATGAAGCATATTTGTGATAGCATGGTGGTGAATCCTACAAGACTAGATATCTTCATGTGCAAAATCTGTTTTTTCAGGGTTTAGAACACTTGCTTTTGCAGTTACTACATTTCTGTAATGATTTAAGTAATAAAAATAATTTCTTTTTAACTAATTCCATTTTTGTAGATACTGTAAGCTTGTGGTCTTAAAGTTCACCGAGTGAACATAATCACAGCTAAATTAAGAATGTTACTTCAGTTCTGTTGTGTGATCTGGTGTCCTATGAAGATCTTGTGGTGGCAGGAGAAAAGGACCACAGACTCGTGGTATACTGTGTTGTTGCAGGGCACCAAGTTTAATGGTGTCTTCTAGTTTCGGAAGTCTAAAATACCATGTACTGTGTACTTTTTTCCTTTGGAAATGGCAGTAGTAGCCAAGGACTGAAAATTAATTTGCTCTGCTTAGTGGCGATGTACAGGTCTTGTTTAGGTAAGGGTTTAGCTTCATCTTTGAAATAACTAGGAGGCATGGAGGTGTTAGAGCACTCTCTGCCCTACCGTTTGAAGGGACAAGGTGCAGTATCTGGAGGCAATAAGGAAGCCCTTTGGCATCCTAAGATTTTTGACCTGTTGTTGATAACAGGCAGGGATATTCTGTCCTTGTTATGGACAGGCAGCAGTCAGATGGGATTTAAGTAACCTGGATTTGATGACAAAAGTAAAATGTTTTGCAGAAGTCTGTGTGTACAAGTGAAGAGGTTAATCAGTTTGGTAGTCTGATTTAATGCTAAGAAATAGATGGGATCTTGAAATGTAAGTTCCAGTAGCTGCAGAGTACCTGTCCTATGGAAAAGATGTTGAAGCTCATCCATCAGTTACAGGACATATGATCATTTTGTCAAAATATATAAAAAATGCACACTGTTTATATATGCCACCAGCAGTTTGTAATGTGGTTTCTACAGGTTTGACCTGGGAACAGAACCCTTGCTTTTGACTTTGCCTGAGGCTATTAGGTGGCAGGAGGATGTGAGCCACCCGAGGGCACCCTGAGCCAACCTTAGCAGATACTACTTCTCAAGCTTGCAGAACAGCCTTCCCATGTTTTTATGCTGTTGTCTGAAGTAGCTGTAGTTACTGTGCAAGGTTCAGAGAAGATGATGCTGAAATAGTTAATTATCCCTTTTCTGCCTTTATGAGATACTTTGGGCTCTACACGAATAGCATCATCCTAAATCCAGATACTGAAGACTAGGCAAGGGGAAGTGACTCGCTGGGTGTTAACTTCACAGATTTGCACCAAAGCGAGGACCAGGAATTAACTGTCTTAAGTGCCAGTCTCCCATGTTTATTAATAAGCAAGCTGGATGTTTTCAACACCTAACAAGTCTCTTCTTTGGAACACTTTCTTCTAGTGGAAGAGTGACTGATCCCATTTTGAAATAGCTGGAGGGCAGAAATTAAGCTTTGTTAGCTGGTGCCTACAACAACTTGAAGCAGCCAGGATAATGCTGAATGGATGGTTCCACCCATCAGGTGCTCCCAGTTCAGTCTCCTCCCAAAAGCTGTCAACAGAGAGGCAGTAACTCGAGGTGGATGTGAAATCTCTCTCAGATACCCTGTAAAACAGCTCTTCTCTAGCTGTTTTGCTCTTCAGAAATGTGGGCCCGAAATCCTGGTAACAGTAAACCTACTAGTTGAAAACCGAAAGATACATCCACAAAATCTGCTAGAGTAGTGAGGGGCAATGTGCCTGTGAAAGAAGAGCAACTTACCATGTGCTTCACAGCTGACACAATCTGGGAGAAGATTATTTTACATTCTGCTTCTAGCAGCTTCCCTTCTGTACTGATTTTAGTGAAGAGCTCTCCACCTCCAGCGTACTCCATCACCAAGTGCAGTTTTGAGAGTGTTTCCACCACTTCATATAGTCTGATGATATTTGGGTGGTGCAGTTTTTCCATGTTGGATATCTCACGAGATAGCAAACGTTGAGTCTTCCGGTCTAGCTTCGCCTTGTCCAAAATCTTAATTGCGACTTTCTCTGAAAAAAGAAACACTTTTCCATGTTGTCAATGCCATAGGTACAAATGGTAATACTATTTACTTATAACAATGCTTGGCCATAGAAGTGCAATAAAATTTCACTTCTGATCAGTATGAGCCAAGCTGCAGAGGCTATTAAACCCAGCCCTCTTTCACACACACCCACGCCCCTTTCCATCTATGGCATTCTACACACTGCTGAGGTAGCTAAATGCTGGTAGAGTATTGCAAGAGCTAATCAAATCACTAGCTAAATGCTGGTAGAGTATTGCAAGAGCTAATCAAATCACCTGCTGTCTTAGTGTGCTTTCCTGCTGCCAGGCTAATAATATGTCAGATGGCTACAGCTGCAGCGTCTGCTTTCAGTGCCTAATGCTGGTAAAGAAACTCTGCACTTTTGCTTTCTGTTAGCTCAGTGCTTTTTAGATGAGCTAGGCCAGAGCCTGGTACTTGCAGACTAATGGACGTGTCAAAATTAAGTGCTTTTTTTTAGAGCAGAAAGACAAACTTAGGGGTAATTTAGGAGCTCTGGCTATAACCCTGCAAGTTTATAATGAAGAGGTGCTTTTAAGTTGGTGCAACATACAGAACTCATACATAACTTCTTATTCCATACCCTGACAAATTCTCAGTGACTAAAATCTGTGTTGTAGAGGTTTGTCTTCCTCAGGATAGCTGTGCCAGTTTTTCAAACATGTTCATGTGTGAGTAGTTTTTGGTACTGTACAGAATACAGGAAAAGTACATTTTTACGTCTGTATGCCACAGTGCACCATGAATCCACATCACACACGGATTTTATTCTGAGGAAGGGGAATAAAAAAAAACAGTGGAATAAATTGCAGGGATTCTGTAACACAGCAAATCTAGCTGTCTTTCACTGTCCTGGTAATGTAAAGCTGCTGTTAAGTTCTACATGTTTCTGGAGCATATCTACAGTGAAACCAAGGGCCACAAAACACAGATACACATCTGCAGCTGCACCACATCTCCAGAGTAGCTCAGAGCAGTATGAATAGGTCAATGACAGTTGCCCTTGTGTTTCTGTATTAATTGGTAGGTTATGGCTTTTGTCTTCACTATCTTGAATACAGCTGGTATTTGAAGGATTAAACTGTTTAAAATAGGTTTACAGTGGCTTTGTATAACTTGTCAGGACAGTAGAATTAAACTGGATTGTGACAGTAAAAGTAATTGTTTATTCCTGGGAAGAAGGTATTTTCCCCAAGAATATCTTAGTCAAACATTCAGGAGTTCTTAACAATTAACCACTTTCCTGAAGTCTTTCAGAAAAAAACTTGTTTTCTTGTACATGGGAGTAAATTTTAAAAGTCAATATTGTTTACTTGTTGCTATAAGAGTGAGAAGGCTATCACATTTGTACATGTGTTCTGGTATAAAAGCATTCAAAATATTTTTACTTAATATTATAAAGTTATTTAACTCTAGTATTTCAACATCTCTAAAGGAAGTGTTAAGGATACATATGCATCTAACTGTACAGATCAAAAAACCTCCATGTTTGGTATGTTTACCTTTCTTAGTAACATATGTGCATTAGTAGATTTCCCTGCTAAATTGCAGCAGATACTCCAAGCAAATGTGATTCTTGTGAAAGGTGCTGAATTATCCTTTGATGTGCCTATTTTCAGAAGGAGCCCGTGCTGAGTAGAGGGCAGTCTTCCCCACGCGGCTTCCCTCTGACCTGTTCCATGCTTTCTAGTGAGCCCTTTAGGAAAGCAGGTACCTACTCCTGTGTTGTGCTGATGGTGGCATGGTGGATTGGGAGGAAATGCAGCTATTAAATGGTAACAGCACAGACACCGATCCTGGAAAAGATCTGCTGACCTAGGGATGAAAGACTAAAACCCTTGTCACATTGGTAGAGTACTGATCACCTAAACCAAGAGGAAAAAAGAGCATCAGCTCGCAGCAGGTAGCATTTGCACAACTAAATGCTTAGATACTATAAGGATAACAATTCTTACAATCTTAACTATGTAATTGCATTGTTACATCTTGATTCATAAAAGTTGGGAGCATTTGGGCTTTAAAAAAAAAATCTTCTAGGTTAAATTCCTTCCCTTTCCTTTTGCTTGAATTCACAATTCCTCTGGGTCAGTTTTCCTGCAAAGTTTTAAAAGGAAAGGGGGAAAAAAAAAAGTTTAGAATTGAAGGCTCCGCTCCCGTTCACACACCACCATAAATCAGGACTGAGCTCCTTTAAATCTACATCATTATAGTTACATATTCATGATATGCAAAAACCAGCCCACCTAAAGTATAAAAAAACCTCACACCCTCCCTTTCTTTTTTAAACTCATTCCCTCTGCTTCCAAAAAATGTTTGCTTTAGAAATACTATATTACCTTTGCATGGCAGCAGTGCTGAAGGGAAGGACATTTTTAACTGGCAGCTTATTTACCAAAATATTAAGACTGAGTAGCAAGAGGTTTTGATTGACTATACACAGTGTATGTTGAGGTTTGAAAAAAGCTAGCTGAAATCTTAATAAGAGAAGTTAGGAAAAGGTTGAGAAATAATTTCAGGAAGAAGTGGTGTATACTATGACGGCAAAAGGAAACAAGATACAAACAGAATTGCTTCAAAAAAAGAAAACGAAGTGCCTGGACATTCCTGCCTTTCCAATTGATGTTTGGCACTAGACTGGCTTTTTACTAGCTGTAAATTTTGGATGCTCTTAATTGCATCTATTCAGCTGTGTTTTCACACTACATTTGTCAGCTGGAAGGTATGTAAAATAAAGGTTACACAGAGCTTAGGAACCTAACAGTCCTTAGCAAGCTACTCCACAGGCCTCTGGAGAAAATCTCTGCCAACATTCAGGTTAATAAAGTGGTCAATGCTCCAGGATAACCCAATATGTATCATAGCATCTTTCCTGCATCCTCTAAGCAACGAAGACAGACCCTGTGAGATAAACAAGGTACTTCATCCAGTATGATCCTGCAGTTTTTTCCTCTCTCCCTCTCGAAAACTTTTTTCAGATACCCTGCTGCAACAGATCAGAAGGGCTACAGAACAGCACACACATGTAATTGTTAAAAAAAGCCATCTTAGTGAAGAATAGATGTGACATGGGAGGAGAAAGACCATACTTAGAACTTAACACTATGAGAATAACTGAAGAGCTGAACAGCCCCAAACCCATACACTTCCCCTTACCACAGGGACATAACCAGCATTAATAATGAAGCCTTTGTATTTATATAATCAGCAAAAAGACTCATACTCATTAGCACTATGCAAGAACACCACTTCATTACCAACACAACAAAGTGCATCTAGTGGAAAAAACAGAATCCTTTTTGTGGGTGGTCGTGGTGTATATGTGTGTTCCTGTTCTCCTATCCACACTGTGTATTTTATGAGGGCAGATAAGCTCACAGGCAGAGATGAGTCAGAAGAAATTTATCCTTCATCAAGACAGTTGCAAACTTAGTACTGAGAAATTAACTCCTTGCCCAGTGAACATTTTAACCAAAAAAGCTACTAACAAAACAAAGAAAAATAGTTTGAGAGATTTCTGTTGAAAAAGAACCTTTTCAAGATAAAAATGTATGGTATTGGTACCTAGTTTGTCCAAGCTTACTGTATTCACTGAAGTTCAAATTTTTCAGTCAGCTCTATTCAAATGCTAAAGCAGCCTGTCTCTGAAGTTAAACAGATAAAAAGTTAATCCAGATCAAATTTATAACCTCCTTTCATTAGTATTCCTCCTGTCCCAGTACAGGAGCAGCACTTCCTCCAGCAGTAAGCACAAGACAGTTTTGTCTGGAAGAAACAGAAGAATAGAAGAAGAATAAATTGTGGGCCAAGAAGAACAGAGATGCTTTTCTGCAACAAGCAAAACCAAAAAATCCACACCCAGTTAAAGCAACCCTTAGGAATAAGCAAGCTTAAATTTGGAAAAAATAAATACCATCAGTTCCACACTTTGATTCCCAGTGCACAAACTGCTGCACATGAGGGATAAATGGGAGCTTTCACACCTCTGCAGTCTGAGCTGAAAGAGGTGGTTAGAGAAAACAACCACAGGTAATAACAGCATGAAAGCTTTGGGGCGTGCCTCATTCTCTCACCTGTAAGATGATGGAGGGAAGGAGAGTCAATCAAATTGGAAAGGAAAGACTATGAGATAAAAACAAGATAGTAATGTATAAAGATGTGGAGAAAACGAGTCACCCCTGAAGGACAAGAACAGCTTCTATTACTGTCAGTCAGAAGTAGAAGAAGAAACAAGACAGATGAAGTTCTTAGTTATACCTATAGCTGAAGTGGTCACTGCAGTTACCTAGCATTTCTACTTCTTCCCAGAAGCAGAATATAGCATGCTTTTCTGTACTTAAACAATTGACAAACCCCAGGTTGGCTGTACCAGAGCTTGTTTCCCTGCATCTTCTCAGCGCACACCTATAGCCCTGTCCCAGCATTTTACAGTAATGAACCACCTGCAAATGAATGATTAAAGCAGACATAAAATTTCTCACCAAAATTACTGTGACCAGGTAAAAGCATTGTTCATACTAGTAAAATTTGTGATGAAACAAAGGAAGCCTTGCCAACCCTGTCTGTGGTCAGGTGCATGCCTAGCCAGGCTGCCCTGGGGGTTCACTACCTATAGCCCTGCAGTCCATAAGCTGGGCAGGGAAGGGGGCAGATGGACAGGATGAGTAGTCGGAGCGGAGGCACAACACCGTGCTTCAAAGGGTGGAGTGTTTGAGCCATGGGATGAGGCGTGTTAACTCAATGAAGTGCAGAGATGAACTTTTCTTGTAATAGCTGGCATCTAGAGAAAATGTTTTTGGTTCTTTAAAGCCTAATCCAAACCTTAGCATTTATCTGTGACCTATAGATTCACACAACAAAAAGATGACACATACAAACTATATGTGTATTTAAGGTTCACACAGCATCTTTCTTCCCAAAGAGGGCCATTTGTATACCTACAGAACTAGGGTACTCAACATGCAGGTGACCCACACAGCGGTGCCTACCTTTGATTAGGGAATGAATTCCAAGCTTCACTTGCGAGAAATTCCCACTTCCTATTTCTCCTCTGACTCGGTAAAAGCCAATTCTCTTTCCCAGGGTTAATTCTTTCACCACTTTTTCATTCTGGGACATATCCTGCATTAGTTTCTCAAACGGGGTCAGCCTGTGCTGCCTGTTCTCTTCATCTCCTTCACAGCACTCCGGCTGCCCATTGTCTTCTCTGCTGTCCTCACGATGCCACTTGGAATAACGGTGTTTTCCAAGACTTCCTCCATTCACATATTCTGTTGTCATAGTCTACAGGGTAGTCACTTCCCCATTTATGTCCCAATAAGGAGTTTAAATGAAATAATTCTGTATGAATATGCAGTCCTGTACATAATGGACACTGTGACAAACTTAGCAAAAATGGCTTACTGAAAGTCCAAAGATTAGTTTGGAAATTACGTACCTACATATTGCAGTTTTGTTCAAAATCAGAGCTAAAACTGGAAGCTGTTTGCATCCATCTCTCACTAACAGATTTAGTATATCAGGATCTTCATCTACAAGGCTTTGCAATTAAAACTGTAAACATTGTGCAAGAAAGCAGTGAGTTGCTCACAATCTGTGCACTACATTTGACACATGCAAAACATTTGACAGGAATTTTCAGGTTTTAGCTTGCTGCTTTGAAAACTAACTGGATAGATAAAGGTTAAACAAATAGCTGATTAACTGAATAAATCCAGATGCTTCCAGTTCATTTTGAATAGCTGACTTTAAGAGCGTAGCTCTCCTTGATTCTGGTATCAGTTCAAGAGCTGAACGTACGGCTTGCCTTTGATTCGTTCTTCAGCCTGTGAGCTTGTCACTGTGCCTTGGAAATGTCACTGTGCCTTGAAGCCTTGCTGTAAAAAGTTTGTGGCTCCTCTGTTTCCTCCTCATGACAGGTTTAGCAAAGCAACTGATCCTGGAAGATGACAGGAAAAGCATAATCTGTGCACCAGGCAAAAGAAACACTGCGCCTCAGCATCCCTGCAGTCACATGGCAGGACAATACAGGATTAAGTAACTGCAATGTCACGTTAACCCTCCTTTATTTAGATGAGCTTTCTTTAACGCCTTGAGCCTTCTCAAAATTTTGCCAGACGCATGGTGTTCCTAAGCAGACGGATGAAGAAAGTAATTAAAACCTTTACATAACAGCCACACACTCTTTAAATGACAGCACACCACATACCATTTCATCAGTTTAACTCTGGCAGCACAGACGAAGAAGTCCTTATTCTAAATACACAAGCAATCACTTACCTTTAAAGCAGTACAGCATTTTTTTTTCTTCTTTACCTTTCTTCTTTAACCTTGAAAAATAGTTGATCAGCAACTGCTAATCATGCAGCCACATGCCTGAGAGTAGTGAGCTGGGCAAGAAAGCTCTGAGGTAGCACAGGCGGTGGCAACGCTCACCTCCCCTGCTCTCAGCCTGCAGCACCGCCCGACTGACGAACGCGGGAGACACCTCCCTGCCGTTGTGTAGATTCACCAGACTGAGAGGGAGAGAATTAGACCAGTAACTCAATGCCTGGAGCTTAGGGAAGGCAGTCACCTAAGGTGCTGCACTAGAAGAGGGCACATGACACTGCCAGGTGAAGTTGCCCTCTAAACCCCACTCTCCTGCATGAGCAAGAGAAGGAGAGGCCAAAGGCACCACATAAGGGCAAAGAAAAGGCAACTGGTGACAATTTCATTAAATGGGAATTGGAGTGGCACAGAAGCGCTTGGCCGCTTCTATAGAGAGGACAAGTGACAGACCCAGCCTCTGTGCAGCTGCTCCTTGCCCTGAGACACATGTGAGTGATTTTGTAAGTTGCTTCACCTCACTGTGTTGCGGCCACGTACAAGAGGGACCGTCACTTCTCCCTGTCAGTTCTTCAAGCCAGAGATGCTTCTTACTGTGCGTGCTGCAAACTTAGAGCTGACACAGTTTATAACTGGAGCAGAGGGAGAATGTACTTGTCCCTTGACACCTTTGAACTCTTGTTATTCTTTTTGTTTTACTCCTGTTTGAAGAAAAAGGCTGTTTTCACGTTCAGAGAAAAAGTGTAAAATAATAATAAATGATCATATCTTATTCTCTGGATCTAAATAGAATCAAACCCCTGACAAATACTGTATGTGTGCAACAACTATTGGCCAAATCCTGAAATTTTGTTAGTAGAGGAGAGACTGAGTGGCAACTGAACAAGTCTTCAGTATTTTCCCATCAAACCAGCCTTAGTTAGCATCAAACATTCCCTCTAACTTTATTACTTGATACCAAGGAAGAAAAATTTGTGAGGAAGGATGCCCGATCCCCAAGCAAACCAAAACCCCACCTAAACCTTACATTCTCTGTTCTCCTTCTGCCTTTGAGGAAAGGAAGATTTCTTGCAGGATTGCCTGAATCCTGTCCCACAGTTGTTCTCTATTTTAACCTGTCATCTGTAAGAAAAACTACTGACCCTTTTTTTAACCATAGCTTAGAAAATTCAGTTATTGCAAAAAAATACGAACAATCTAGTATACTCCCATGTTTAGAAGACCTATATTTTATAAAAGATGAGAGTCCAGCGGAATAGTCCATAAGACCAAACCACAAGTACCAGAGACCAAACATGACACAAAAGGTCTCCTGTGCAGCCACTCACCATGTTTATTGATGCAGGGAAAGTACTAGCTCCTCTTTTGTACTTTTGCTCAAGTAATATTGGTTGAGTGTATGACTGTTGTGGCCGAAGGAAATCAATGTTCAAAGTCTGCCCTGTGTACTTTTTTTGGATTTGAGTAAGAAGCGCTCTCAGTGTTATTTCTGTGAATGCCAGAAACCAGAGGGACTATATAAAATACACTGCCCAGAACTTTTTATGAGTTGTTAAGAAAAAAAAAAAAAAAAAAAAAAAAAAAAAACACACAGTTACAGGCTGAACACAGACTTGCATGTTCCCAACTCAAGTAGGGGAAAATGCTCAGCATTGACTGTGGAGAGCCTCCAGAAACAACTTGAGCTCCCTGTCCAGGCCCACATGCCACCCATTTCAGTGCATCCCAGAATTACTACTGTTAGTTAGCATAGGATTCAGTTTGCCAATTATTGTTTGATGAGAAACAGACATGATCAACATCATTCCTAACCTTATAAGTGTCCTTGCCTAAGACATGACATTGTTTTTCCACACGCAGAATATTAACACATTGCAGTATCCCTGGCCAAGGCAATATAAAACACTGTACACACACTTATAACCATGCATGTACAGCCACACGGGCATTGTACCAGCTGGAAATAAGAGTTAGGACAGTGAAAAGGGGGCCAGGCCCTCTACAACCAACTATACATAAGCTGTATTTACTTTTTCAGTTAAATGAAGCCTATTTGTTTAATACAAGATATATGCCACAATATTGTAAGAGAATGACTATAGCATGCATTTTAGTGAGTTACAGTGCTCACTCCTTCCATCACCTCATTTAGCACATTTTAGGTTGCAATTTAGGTTACCATTTAGGCACAATGGTACTAACATGTAAGTGACCACATATGGGTCACACTGCAACAGCAGATCTTCTGATGGTCTGACACAGAACCTGAAGGGCAGTCACCTTCACCTCTTCCATGAACCTCCCAGTGCTGCCATACAATTGAGGACATGGGGCAACTCCAGTCACTGATGACAAGCTGTGCCAGCACATCAACTAGAGTCAGGTCAAAGCACTCTGCTGTCCTCTATGCACATCTTAGGCCACAGATGCAAGACTACCTCCAAAACAACAAAGTGAAAGAAGGCTAATGAAAAAATAGTATTAAAGATCATGGACTCTATTATTTTTCATGATGCACATTACTTGATGAAAGAGTACCAACACCTTCAATAGCTTCATCACTTGCAAAACCTCACTGGATGGCCAAGGCACCAAGAGGGGAAGCAGGAGGAGGTAACAAATTGTACTGATCCTTCACCACAAAAGGCCTAGTCTACATGCTGATGCTAAACCAACAAAATAAGAAACACTGACATAAAAAGGAAAAAAAGCCAACCAAAAAACTCCCACCCTGGAACATGCTAACTCTAGCCCACAGCTTATTCTACAATTGTAACTAGGAGGAGAAGACAATGGACTTTGCAACCTGTTTAGAAGTTTAATAAGCCTGAGCCCTGCATACTGAAGCAGAATACATGTGGATGCTTGATGAAATGTCCCCCACAACCTCATCAGAAGGACTGAAATCCTCATCTTTTGGGTTGATGGCTGTGATGGACCCCTGAAGACAAACATGGATGTTTCTCTAATGGAAGATGAGCTCTCGCGCAAGGATCTTATCTGACCAGCCGGCTCCCAGAACTGCTGACCGGAGACAGGCGGGAGCATGGAGAGCACTACCTAGCACAGGCCACTGTGGCAGAAGATTATAGATCTAAGCAAGCTCCCACATTCATTTCATCCAACTTTCTTCTTGCCAAGAACAGTGAGAAGAAATAGAGGAAAAACCCACAGGTGTGCCCCAATCTGTGATCCATCCCTAGAAGATCTCCCTGTGATCTCCAATAGGCAGTCACCGGCTGTGTCCAGGGAGCACTACAGGTTGGCTCACAGAGAGCCACCTGGTAGACAGGCCATCAGGCTGGGCCAGCATACGCACACTCCTCTGCCAGGCGATACCTGTGCCAGCATCTGCGAGACAGCAGCAGCTCAGAGCAGTCCTGCAGGGCTACTGACAGCCAGTTCATGCAACACTGGTATCAGGGTGTAGCACAGACTCACCTTTCCATCTCAAGTGTTATCTGCTGATGGACTGGAATAAACTCTTGCACTAGAGCATCAAGGAAGACAGGCTGCACAGACCCTCAGCACTGAGATGCAACTCCCCCAGTCCCAGCTGAGCTGACACCAAAACAGGTTGAGTACAGCCCAGCTGGTGAAGTCTTAACATCAAATCCATGGTCTGCAGATTGTATGGGGTATATTGAAAAGAAAATAAATGCACAACAATCAACATAATACAAACTACACTAAACTAATACATTATGACCTGTGAAGTAGAAACTAAAATATGGGGAAAAAAATCCCTTTCATCCTTTTGCAGCATTGCATGATAAAAACAGCTAGAGGATTAATGAGTCTTTGAATTACACAGAAACTTGCATTAAAAGCAAAGACAAAAAAAGAATTCATTAATAGAAGCCATTGATTTCCCAGGTCTTTGAAATACATGGGAGCAATTAATTTGAAGTCTGACTGTATTTTGAAATAAAATTTATCCTCTCAAAACTTTAACCTGGCCAGTCTTCTTTATTTCCTTCTGAGAAATAATGCAAATTGGTCAATTCGCCACAGAATTGTTATTCCAAGGCAAAACCAGCTTCCATGAAACAGAGATCCAACAAAGTCTTTATTAGCATTTCAAACGACAGGACAAAATTTGCATCTAATTCAATTACTTCACTAAAAATTAATTTGACTCATAAGCTTTCAGTGAAAAGAAAATAAATTCTCTCAAAAAAGCAAGTGATAGTACAAGAAGTAGGCAATACTTTGAGTCCCACTGAAATCACTGAAATTAGGACAGGAAATTAGTCTTTGTTCATTTTAACAAAATGACTGTATATTTAGGCAGATGTACATTGCTAAGCAGATGGCCTGCAATAAAATCACCCTGCCATTACTTGCAGGAAAGAGAAACATGAAATGTGTTTCCATGCAAAAGAAAATAGAAAATGTTCTATTGTCTATCACAGTTTTCTTTCACTGTTCCCATTACTTCTTAGATGGGCCCTAGCAAACACAAGTAACTCTGGTTACCTCTTACAAGGCAATCAACTTTAGCTGCATCAATATTTATGCACTCTTCAAAATTACTGAGTAGTAAAAGGTTAAGTATTCATAAGGAAAATTTTAAATGGATCTGGGCAGAAGATAAGCAGTTGCTATTATTTTCCAGGGATGTGTTTGGAAAGTTATATATCCTGCACTGCGCTTTAAATGTACTTTATACTGCCTGGCATTTCTTTTTTTTTTTTTTTTTAGAGATTTATCCTAATTAGCATTAATGAGCCACTTTACAATAATTATATTACTGAGCTTGACTAAAAGAAGGTGTACATGTAGACATACAATAACCGTGTAAAAACAGCAGGAGCCATGCAGAAACAGAGCAATGCCATAAAGATTGTCTGCTTGATTTTACAAATGCTGAAGAACTATCCCCTGAAAGTGTCACTGAAAGTGCTCTGTCCTTGCCAATTAAAATGTCCCAAACTGACTGCAGTACTGAGGACTTTTAGAACATTTAGAGGAAAAAATCTAGATAGAAAGACATGTATTTGTACTTCTAATCTAATAGACAATTAGATTGGAAATTTCTAGAACCCATCAGAAAATAACAATGAAATAGAAAACAGTCCCAGCTGCAGTTCTCTAACAATACATGAGCATGCCGCCTTCTCAGACCAATGTGGTCCTCTCACCAGGCAGATCACCTGCTACTCACACCAGCTTCTGCCTCTGAACCTGTATTTGAATACCATGTACTGAGAAACCCTACCAGATCTGCCATCCATACGTCCTCCTCGACCTTTGCAGGCACAGAGCCATGCAGGGGAATAAGCATAAGCTTACCAGAATCGCCGAAGCTTCAACTAACCTCTGGAAACTGCTTAATGCATAGTAAGTCTTCAAGACTTGGCAAGAAGCTTAGCAGGAAGTGATCTGATTTTATTTGACATCCTACAGACCATAAGTTATTAATCTCTGCACATCAAAGAAATGTTGCCCGTTAAAGACTTCCCTTTCACTGGAGTGAGAACAGAAGTGAAATTAGGAAAGGTATTTTTGAAACTGGGATCCAGAGAAACAGTATAATGGCAGCAAGCAACATTCAAGGCAGCCTGCTGTGAATTGAACTGTTTTCTCAGCTACAGCTCCTGCGGCACACATTAAGGATCGTAAGTGAGGGATATGAACCCAAACAAGATAGAGCAGAACTCTAGATTTTACTCTTATTTCGCAACCTTGTCTTCAGTATTGCAACTAAATGCTTTGATATGCATCCTACTAAAATAAGCTAAATAAGGTTGTTGGGGTTTTTTACTGCTTAAATTTGTCTGGTTTTGGAACCCTGAAAAGTTCATAATATTGTCTCTCAAACCAAATACACACATACAGTAGTGTATGCCAAGGAGTCTGTACCCCAACATGTTTAGGCAACTGCCTTGTCCTCTGCAAGGATCAGCAGGGAAGCCAAGGTCTGAGGGCAAGGAAGGCTGTCAGTGTTTGAGGACAGGCATAGACAAATATTCCTCTGGCTGGGAAAGTGTGGAAGAGGAACACTTCAGAGGTCCAAGCAATACACAGCTTGCTCATGATCCACTGAAAGTCTGGGTCAAGCTAAAAAGTTGCTACGGTCCAAATCCCTAAAAACATCCCGCTTTTCATATCACATTTGAACAGCAAAAGCTGTCCTGACTTGAATGAATATTAATGTTAGTAAATTTGGCTAGTATTTAATTTCATTAGCTGATCTCATTGAGATTTGTTGAGTATCTGCCCTGGAACACAGACTATTATTAATTTTTTTGTCAAACTGAAGACTTAAATAAACTGTGTTCCATTAGAGACAATAGTGTAAATCTGAGTATTCAGCAGCATTAGGAAAACAGTCACTGTTTTTTCCATTTAATTTTTCTAATTAAATCCACTGGAAAAGGAATTGTTGTTCCAAAGATTTTTGGAAGTTCCAAATATGGATCATGTGGCATTTGAACTGTCATACAAATGGTCGTAAAATTTACCACACAGAAGACCACAAACCAACTTAAAAGCTAAGACAGATGATACTCGTTAAAATTTTGACAAAATAACACATCCAGTGTTCAAGTTTGGGGATCAGTTTTTACGCACTTGCAAAAATGGAAATTAAGAATAAGTCCAACTCTATGGTATTACACAGATACAAATTATGTTCCATGGTTTCTGGAAGCAGAGGTGCACTAATGAAGCAAAAAGCCAAGATATGCAGAAGTAGAGCATAAACCAATTTTAGAACATCTTTAAATCGTAATCTTCCCTGCAAACATGCAGACAGTTATGTGGCATTTATACTTTCAGAACCACCATTCACCTCACATGATCCAAAATCCCAATTTATGCAAAAGTCTATGCATACTAAGATAGTTCAGTTCCCCTCACCTTCCCTCAATTTCCTTCTTGAAGAAATCTTCAGGAGAATTTCAGATTAGATCCAGAAATGCATTTGAGGACACAGACACATAGGAGAATTTATAAGCTATTCATATTAGAGTAAATATCAATCTATTTTAAAATAGATGACAATATAATGCTTCTAGCATTTCTTTCACTGACTAATCTTTACTGGACTTGCGTAATGCTCCATCCCTTTCTATCAATACAACTGCTTTGTTATAACCCCTTTCTATCAGCAGAACTGCCTTCTATCAGCACAAGAAAAGGCAGCTGTCTGAGTGCAGCAGAACTCAGTGAAAGGGAAAAAACTCTCTAGTTTCATTTCACTTTGTGAAGAGCTTGAATACAACAGATCTTTTTCCATTTGTCATTATAAGGAAACCAGAAAATCTATCTGGTGGGGGTTTTGTCAAGGCATTTAAGAATGTAATTGCTGTTTAAGTGGTATGCACATGAAATTATATGTTCACAGGAAAACATACTGTGGAAAAAAAAACCTGGCCTTAAAACCATAATGATACTTTTGTATCATACTAAAGACAACACACATCACAGTGTCACTTGCAGTTCAAATGACTGCACATTAAAAAATAGAAAATGTAAGGTTTCTAGGACAGCTTTTGTGAGGAAAAATGGGAAAAAGAGATACAGGGAACAGCCTGTTCAGATTTTCCAAACTGAGCATGCTAACACCATGAGACCAACAAGATAAAACGAGACAAGAAATGCCCTGAAATCTGAACGAAGTGCAGCTGGCAATCCAGGTCACATTCTCTCAGGGCAAACTCTGACTTGGTCAGGTGCTGGACAGGGTGGCAGCCTGCACATGGCCAGAGCCTCTGGAAGTAAAAGGCCAAGTTCCCACATGACAGATGCATCGCCTCTGAGCTCAAAGGCATGATGACAACTCTTTTCTTGAGGAGGACACCCTTACACCATCGTGATTATTTAAAAAGTGCATGATGAAAAACTGTAAACTCAGGACCAAAACCTTTAATTCTTCACAGCAGTTTACAGATAACATTAAGTCATTTTAGCACTACAAAGCAATAGCAGAAAACAGGTCTGGAAGTTAAGACATGCAAAGTCTTGTATTTGCAGTAACAGATAGCAGTATTTACAGCTAAGAGGGGACTCCGACCTGTTTGATCTCCTATATCCTAAGTCTAGAAACCATGTTCCATTAAAAGTCTGGAACCTTTTGGGAAGCAGACTCACAATCTGCTCCTAAAGAGGTGTATTGGAAGTAATTCTCCAGCAAGCAGCTCAGAATAGACACAACACCATCTTTAATTTTGCCTGATGACGTACCACAGTGAACAGTGCCTTGAGCTGGAACTGCCTACTTTGCTGGCACTAAGCTGTTCAGCCTCTAATGAAAAGATTAACAGGTTCTTCTGACTCCTTCAAATCTTGGTCTCTGACTGAACCTTCATCAACAATATTTGCCTTCCCGTCTCTCCACAGCAGCACCATTTCTCAGTGCCACAGCACTAGGTGAGAGAGAAAAAGAAAGAAAATGCATATCTCTTCCATTGTCTTCATAAAATTAATACTCAAACCCAGATAATCACACCACGTAATCTGGTGACAATAGGCAGAACTGAACAGGACTGGAAAGACATTATTGTCATAACTTCTAAATCATTTGGTTGGCATGAATGAACAGTTTCTCACCTCTGTTTACTGGAAGAAAGAACTTAATCCATGTTGGTCTCTCATTTTTAAACCTGGGGATATAACTAACCACTCAAAAACCAACGATACAGTCATTTACCACAGCGATCATAGTACTCAGCATTAAAAACAGAGAACCATTATGCTGAAAGCCTGCTCCCATCTCAAAGCCAGCATCAAGCCTATATCCTGCACCCTCTGCACTTTTCACATAGAACTCCAGAACAAAACTGAACATTTACGCCATTTGTGGGCATTGTTAAACCAAAAGTAATGCAAAAAGACAACCTCTTCTTACATGCTGTGCTCTCATTCATGAAAAGAAAATAAAATCAGATGTGCACATAGACCAACTTACTGTTCACTCCAGGCAATGTCACAGTTGCTGCTTACCACCCCTGATGATGATACTCCTGATATTCTTTTAAGGTGTTTCTCATATTTTTCCATTATAACAAACAAATGCACAAAATTACTGCTTGTATGTACAGTTTTCTTTTGAGAAGTAAATAGGTTAAGCCAATGGCTTTAGTGAGCTGTTACTGTATGCCTAAGACAGAGACAGAGATGACCACAAAGTTTCATAAGCTGTGGGAGCTGAAATTGAAAGACTGCTGGAGGAACGAGACTGTGACCCTGATGGTTGAGGTGCAATGATGAAGTTTCATTTCTAATGAAAATGGAATCTGTTCACCTTTTCTATTTTATTACCAATGTGGAATTTCTCATCATGTAGAGGAGTCTTGGCAATACATTTGCCAGTTCTGAACGTCTTGTACCACAACACTAAATTAAAGACAGAATTTTGAGCTTATTTTGAAAAGTTCTGTAATACTATTGAAGCAGATTCAAAACATTTATATTGGAACTTCTAATATGGCCTGATGAAGCTGAGTTCTCTTCCTTCAGCCCATATGAGAGTTCCAGTTCTAACAAGATTTTCTCTCAGTTATTGTCTCAGAGTAACTTAGATTTTTTAATTTTAGTTTCTGACATACTAATTCAAGGAAGACAGAAAAAAATAATTAAAATAGAGGCATTTTTTCATCCTTCCTCAAGTGGTTTCACCAGATGACCTAGTGTTTGCACTCAAGATTCAGATAAAACACATTTTTTGAGCATCTCCATATCACTTCTGTACTGAGACACATTTGTTAATCCCTCTATTAGCGGAACGTCTTATACATATGAAAATTACAGTAGCAGATGTAAAACTTGCCTATAAATACAAACAGGATCAGAGTCCAAATCAGCTTTAAAATTCAGGAGGCCTTGGCAGACAGCGCCTTTTCACAGCATTGAAGTAATTTACATACACTATGTTGTATTTACTGTTGGGAGGACTAGCAGACACCAATACCAAAAGTGAACTCCAGTGCTAAAGCTGCCAAATTTAGGGAATCTTCACAAAGCACTTCTGAAAGATAAAATTTCTGTGGAACTATCCTGTATCTCAGTGTCTACCAGCTGAACCTCAGGTCTCTGGTGGAATAAAACTCTGATATGAGCAAGGAATGAATTCTCATTTTTATGCCGCAGCAGTCAGAAACCAGGCTCTTCTGTAGCACCATTTTGTGTAAACTAACAGTCACAACATCAAGATTGTTGTCGAGTCTGCAAGACTTCGCAGACCAGGCATACTGAAGGCATCCTCCAAAACTTGCTTTGACTAAACTTTTCTCAGCATTTCTTTTCACATTTTCAGATAATTACACTTGGCTCTAAGGTGACCTGAACAGTAACATCAAATCAGAGGAAAGTCTTTCTCATTGCGTGGACACATGTCAGAGAAACACATGCTCCTACAATGGAACCAGCGAAACAAAAGTGGGGTCAGATGCAAGGGTTATTGCTCAGCTTTTTTCCCCTGTACTACAGCCCTGAATTCAACATTTCCATTTCACATCCTTTGGGTTCCAAATTCAGCTAAATCTTACAATATGTCTATCACATAGAAGTAAATGTAGGCAGATGGCCACCACAGACTCACATGTGCAATATCCAAGGAAGACCACTAATCACCAGAAAACTGGAAGTTGCTTGAATTTCTCTTCCCATGTCGGCTGTGACCACCATCAAAGCACCCTCTATTGTTACCACTGGCTTTTCACTCCTGAGATACTGTCAGTGTTTGTTCCTCAACTGCCTGAAGAGAGCAAAGCTTGGCATGGAGGTCAATGGAAACAGCTTCTCCATTCATTCCCAAATGTTGTAGAGCCAACAGTTGCAGCACTTTCCAGTTAAATACTTCTGTCACTGTGGGCAGCCCAGTGTAGCACAGCACATCCAAAATAATTTAATGTACTCATCCAGCCATGCAAATGCTTTTATTACTAAGAAGTCATCAGATCAGACTGAACAGAGAAAAATAAAGTTTCTGTACCAGACTATCACCCTCTCATGTGAATAAAAGTAAAAAAAATTAGTTTCTTGGTATCAAGACTATGGGAATAGCTTTATGCAAGATACCCAAATGAAGTAATGTGATGTTTAGCAAGAATTAAGACTCAGTTACAATGCGTTTGTTCTGACCATTGAATACAGAAGTTTTGGCAACTCCAATCTATATTCCCATATGTATTCAATATATTTTGCCTAACGACTACATTTTCATGTTAATTGTAAGGCTAGTTTCCAGGTATTTCTTAACTTCAAGCTTTTGTTTTTCTGCCAGGTATGTCTTCAGGAGGCCATCAAATCCTGGGTCACCAGAGACCCAGAGCAGAAAAGAGGATAATGTAATCCGCATTTGGGAAAGCGGCCAAACGCAGGTCTAACTGATGCTCCAGCACTTTGATTCTGAAGGGAAACCCACATGGTTTTTTTTCTAGTTAGCAAGATATCAGCTGTTTCAAGTGGCATCAAGTAGCCAAAAGGGGTCACGGACAGAAAAAAGCACTGGGGTTTAAAAAAACCCAAACCAAAACAAAGCACAAAAAACCTCAGGGAAGAATAAACAAGAAGGCTTTGAAATAAAATACTTCTAAAAAATTTTAATTACTGATGCAAGAAGTTGTCAATGTTAATTACAACTGAACTGCTGTCAAGAGAAATCCCCTCCATCACATAGAGCTGATTACACTTCAAATTAAGATAAAAATCAGTCATTAATATGCTGCAGAAGAGCTGATATTTTGCATTAGCAATACTTCTGAAACTCTCTCCTGATTTTTTAAAAAATCTGATCCTGTTAGAATCTAAGCATTTTTCAAGATGTGGTGAATGTCTCCAGCCTCAGGGGAGCCCTCCATGTGCACTCCCAGCCTCTAGATGATACATGCAGGAATGCAGTTCCAGTGATAAACACAAATCCTGAAGGACAAGAGTGCAGCTGCCCTCTCCCCTTGCTGCAGCAGCACAGGTAAAGTAAGCCTACCTGAATTAGATTCCTTCCAAGCAGAAAAATACAACAGATACAGCCACAAAGGTCTGCAGTGTTTGTGTTTAGTGTGGTGGTGTAGCTGTGCAATGCATCCACACATAAACAAGAGACAGACTATGAGGCAAGGAGCGAGCTGTTGGTAAATGCCTTACGTCTTTTCCAGGCAGATCTTCACAAGAGCAGAACACATGACACTCCAAATGGCTGATCATTCCTGGAAAACTCAAGTCCCCATGGCCCCTGTGGCATGCTCTTTGGTAGCTCAAACAGCCTTGTGCGCTGCTGAGAGTAAGTAATGCTCAAGAGATTTACTGCCTGGCTCATCCTAAGGCTGTGTTTTTCAAGAGGGGATATATTTGTACGGTAGAGGCCTAAACAAGAAGCAAGTACAGCAGATGCCATTCGCTCTGAAGCTTTAGCTCTTTATCCAGACAACCTGCACACATTATGAGCACCTACAATCTTGCACTTTGTTGTCTTGATCATGATGGTCTTTATGAAGGTAACACCAATGAGAAGCTCCTAATTGGAAAATATGAAACAGCAGCTGACACTGTGTTCACAAATCAACATTTATATCTTCCAGACTACTAGAACTTTTTAAATACTTTTGTTCCCAAAAATACTCTCTAGTAAAAAACATGAGAAATTCACATCAGAGCTACAGGCAGAGGATTAAAACAATTGAGAAGTGTTTCCTCCTTCCACTCCATTCTTAGAAAGAAAAACCTAAGGTCCTGTAAATCTAGAAATCAGAATTTAAGAAGAAAACATTGCACAATCTCATTGCTTCTCACCCTCCACCTCCCTCTCTGACTTAAGCTGGGGTAGGGGCAATCGCTTACAGTAGCACACAGGATATTTCCAAGTGTCAACCGGTTATATAGAAGAAAAACATAGAATATTTTTCTTTCAACAAGTATGTAGAGAATACTAACACTCTGAAAATATAAAAATATCTAAATCATCAATAAATACTGTGCTCCAAGAGAAGCACCACTTTAACTGAGTGATAAATAGTTGCCTAAGGAATAGATATTTCTAACTATGTTACAATGAAGAAAACCTGTCATTATAAGTGCAGGCCCCTGGGGGGCCTACAACATTTCACAGTCTACCAGCATCCAGATGGAAACAGTGATGACACAGATGCAATAAGTATATTTTTTGACATATAAAATACCCAAATGATGAAATTGTAGAGCTAAATCCTATCCCGGACTTGCATAGTGGTGCTGGGAGAGCAAACACAGGCCTGGGTGCTGCAGGCAGTGGCCCACGGCCTCGCGGTGCCAGGCAGCTACTGGGGTGATGGAGCTAAGGAGGCACCCACAGACTGAGCCTCACCTCAGAGCATTCCAGGCACCACTCCCAGCCCAAGGGCACAGCTGTAAAACTAAGAGGGGTTTCCACCATATGATGCAGGAGAGTTGGGAGCAAAATGATGGACAATCTGTTTGTAAAAAAAACCCCATACAATTTTGGCAGGAAGGTATAAACTATAAGGACAAAAAATCATCAGCAAGAGCAAGTTACAGATGAAAACTTGACATGCTTTCAATGGCTGATAGCAGAAGGCTTTTTGCATTTTACAGATCTATAATAAGTACTTCATCAAGAATGTTTTCTTATGCTTAAGGTCAACAAAATAAAAATTGATAAAAATATTTTACATTTAATAATGAATTAATAAAATTAACACGGGTATGAGATCAGTGACAGCTGTACACTTTGTGGGTGAAGCAAACACTGTGGGCAAATCTACAGAGGCAGCCTCAGGAGCCTGGAGAGAGCTGCCCAAGCCACCATACACACTGCAGCGTGACACCCTGAAAAGTCACGGAGGTGGAGAGAGAGAGGACTTCCAGGGTTTATCACCAGGCTGGGCAACAAGCATATAAATTGCTTCCTAATGTTCATTCCTGCTCCTCTTTATTTGTTTCATTGAATTTGGAAAATCAATACTTCCGTATTAAACGCTAACAGAATACTCATTTTAAATCATTTTTAAATCATTTAAACCATCATTTAGTGATGCTGATGAGCAATCAGCTCTTCTTCAGCACAATTATGCCATGCTTGGCCAGAGAAGTGGAGCTCTATCTAAGAGCAGAGCCCCAGGCTTAATTCTAGAGTGCTTTTTTATTTTCTTCTTAATATCAATCAGATTTAGTAATGACCTGACTGAGATTCTTCAACTTGACTTCTGCAAAATCAAGTTTCTAAATGAGGGTTCTGTGAAACCTGTAACCAATAAGAAAAAGCGTATTACACATCTCTGTCATGTATAAATATTAAACCAAAATGAGAGGCACTGGTGAACTCTCCCTCTGTACCTATTAGCTCAGTTTCACGCTATCCTTCTAGCCCAGAATTAACTCAATTCATGGTGGCCTAACAGGGCAGAGAAGACAACCACCAGTGCAATCACTTCCTGCAGGACTCAAAAAAGTTGATTGTTTCCATTGTGTTGTACAGAAAACAGCATTATATATGGGCCTATTGTGGAGGAGATGGCTGTCCATTTACACAAATGCAGCGTCTCAAAGAGGCCACTTACACACATGAATTGGGCCTGGTTACCTTGACTTCATGACAGCTTTCATAAACACTGAATTTCACAAGTACATCTCAGCAAACTGCAGGAAAAACTATGAATGTAGTAACATGGTAATTGCAAAATAATAAAAGAGGGATCTGTAACTAAGGATCAATTCAAACCAGTTCTGAAATGTTCAGTGCCAGATGAATTTTCAAGTATGTGTCAGAGAATACTCACATTTTCTAATTTACTTCCAGATTAAATACTTTCTTATTTTGCAACAAAATCTTTAAAAGTCATGATAGTATCAGCATTCATTGTTGCACAGTGTAATACCAGATTATCTTAATGAGGGACTAAAGAGTCCTTAAACTTTTGATACAATCTCTAAAACATTAATGACACAATAATTTAGACTGAGAACAATGATTTATAATAAACACCTGGCAAATACCGGGCTTGAAACACTGAGCCAAATCATACACTGCTATTACAGCAACAAATTGCTCCATGATTGAACGCTGTGTCTTTCCTAGAAGACTGGAGGTGCATCAGTTGGACTCCAGGCACTGTTTTAGAGAAGGGAATGGAGAGCATTTAAACCAGCTGTTATCTAGCAGCTCAGTATTGATGATCTAATTTGGAAACTGGATTAAATTGAACAGATTAACACACCACTGTACAGCTGCATGGATTTATGGTTGTCATGACAACCAGCAGAAAATGTATCCTACTAATCCTCTCCAAGCAGATCTGTCTCCATGCAGCATTAACAAGCTTTATCACTAGCCCAGACATACTTACAGTGATTTCATCACAGGTATCTAGACTGGTATAATCTCTAACTCTGCAGTTTAAAATATCAATTCACAAACAGAAGAAAAGAGAGGCTCAGTTTATGAATGAATGCTGGAAGCAATGAAACATCCTTGGATGTTACCTGAAATGTATAATTTATTCAAATTAATTTTCCAGGGTGTTGAGTATGCAAATATGTATTTATTTTATAATAATATTTTAAAATAAATTGACTACTACACCATGCTTCCTACATTAGGCAGAGCCCTCTCATATTTCAAGTAAGAGACACAGTGATTTCTATTTTGGAGTTATCTTTCTCAATAACTTATTTTTCTTGCAATGAGGATAATACTCTTTGGTTTTAGTTTAGGCAAGGAAGTCAGGAAGCTGGACAGTGTTTTCAGTTCCACTACTGCCAACCTGCAGAATTATTTGCTCTATGTAACCATAATAAAGTAGAAGGAAGGAAAAAAAAACAAACAAACAAAAATCCCCCAAACAAAACAAAGCCAATTACCTATTTTACAGGAACAGTCAGAGGTTGAGTTAATTAACATTTGCCAAGTGTCCTAGAAGAGAACTGTCTTTTTTTCCAAATACACAGAAAAGCCATGTTGGAGGTTTTCTCAGTGTTAGCCAAGAGTTTCAAAGGTTGAAGTTTATTCCCTGCCTTGCAGTAAAAATCGGGAAGAAAAAAAAAAAAACACTCCTGACTTCTCAGGCTCTGGAATAATATTGGAGGCCAAGACTGGCCACGTAAAAGTTGTGTGGTGTTTCTACCTGTAAGGAACTTATCCCATCACTTGTCAGGATGGTTCAAATTAATGTTCTCTCATTTGTTATGTTCCCCATCTCAGTGTAACTTCACTTCCAAAAAAAAGAGCAAAATCTCCAGATCTCCCCAGAAAGAGCACCTTCTGAACATGTACCTAGGCAAACATATTCTAGGTGAAGTACTACAGCTGCCAAAATGCCATATCTGCTAGCGTCATCGCTCCATATCGCATGGAGTGGGAACTTGCAATAGCTCCATTCCTGAAAGTATCTCATTTCCCCAGCAGTGGAGTCCAGAAAATCCTCCCATTAAGTTCAACCTACAGGATCCAGAGAAAAATCCTTTTTAGCAAAGGGCTAATTGATCAGTCTATGGTAATGTGGCTACAACATGAGCAACTGATTTATTTTCCAGTGCAACTTAACTGCCTTCAAAACAGAGTCACTAGATCAGAATGTATTATAATGAACTATTTATATTTACAATAGCGTAGAATCTGTGTTAGTTTACAAAACGATTTTGAGTATCTTCATATGACAAAGCTAAGGACCCCACAACTGGACATTTTTTTTAAATACCCCAGAAGCTGCAATTTTTAAAGCAGCACTCACAGAAGATCCCAAACAAGTAACTGTAAGAATAGTAAAACCAGCATATTCAGGTATCTTTAGTTCCTAATTTCCAAACAGACCAACTGCTTAGGACTAACTAAAATCCTGAGGTCCTTGTATCTGCACCAAATTATTCACTCATTTACAGCCATGGGATGCACCTGGGACAGCTCCGGCGGCGGGCCGGCAGGCACAGCGCCCGCACCGCTTACACCCTCCGGGCCCTCCCGTCCCCACGTTTGAGACCTGCACCCTAGAGCTACATGCCGCACCCCACGCCAAGCTTCAGGTCTTTTAACGGTGTAATTTATTTCCTCCAAAGGCCGCCAGCCCTCGTTTAAAGGGACGGTAAAGACGAGCTCCAGCAGAGACCGTTCTCGATGTCAGGGCTCGAGGTAGAAGGGAAAGCGGGCGGGCACAAAATAGCAGGGAGCTGCGTGAGCATCTCTCACCGTGCGCGCCAAGCCATGGGGAGGGTGCAAACAACCCGCACAAAGTTGGGTCCAGCTGTGGCCAAAGCTGGACTAGGTCTGAGCTGGTGAGTCAGGGAAGGGCTGCAGCTTCTGCTGTACACATCTGAGCTGGCCCTTGTTTGACAAACTACAAATTATTTGTATTTCCATGATAAGCAAGTTGCTTTCATTTTTAATTATTTGATAGCAGCAAACACAGTTTAACAACGAGAAAAAAAATCTAACTGCACATTACATTTTCATGACAGTTCCTGTAGAAGAGATAGTTCAACCCTTAAAAATAAGCAACCAAATTAAACACTATTATAAATGCTTTCTCACTAGAAATAATACTGAGTTACAGAATTTGTGTAAGAGTTCCCTATTCTGCACCATTAGCTAACTAAAAGTTGCACTGCAGTTAGGCAAAACAAAGCAGAGGCTGCGTGATTCTCCTCCAGTACCCATTCACTCAGGAGTGACATCCTGTTTCATCCTCGTAAACCTGCAGATGAAACATGTTTTTCCCTAGAATTCAAAAATAAAAAAAAAAAGCAGCTAGTCCTTTCAGTCCTTTCTTACACTGCCTGAATAACTCAGCATCTCTCAAACTATTGATCAGCTCCCTTCCCCCTTCCTGCTCCAGTTTCAGAAACAGCTTATGGCCTCTCATGAATATCACATAAATCTACAAGACTACCTCTAACCTTGGTCTCAGTTTGATGCTCAATTTTATTTTGTATCCAGACACACCTCACAGATTTTTGTTCATTCCCTTTTCCATTTCTTCCTGCCTAGACCCCACTGCTTTAGCTGATTAATTTGGCATAAATTCAAGTATTCACCCTCTGTGCTGCCCTACTGCAAGCTACAGACCTGCCTAACACAGGGCTCTGGGGACAGCAGTATATACCTGTACTCCTCCAATGGTGCGTAGGTAACAGTTCAGAGGTCTGTGGGTCTCTACAGACATTTGGGACAGAAAGCAGATGGCAAGGCGGCCGTTCCCAAGAGCAGCCAGAGCTTTTGACTCCCCCATCAACTGTCCCTTCCACATATCAGCTGTTGCAGTAAGGAGGCATGAGGGACTCCAACGGTGGGAGCCATGTGGGCTTCAGGAAATTGTAAGGAAGAGGGGTTTGCAAAGGGAAAAGTTCTCTAGCAGAGTTATTACTTGGGTGGAGAGCCTTTAAGCCTGTCCCTCAGGGTGAGCAGGGGATTGCTCATGGTCCCAACGTGCTCCACCCCAGGCTCAGTGGGAGTCTGGATGGGGTAGCACTGGACATAACAACAGAGCATCATTTCTCTGAACTGTTGTTGAAAAGGGGAGATCAAACAGAACAAAGAAATAGCCTGACTGTGCTTACCAAACTACAGACCTGCTACCAGTACCATAACTGCTCAATGTACACTGGACTGAAATTACCTAAAAGCTAGTTTCATTGGTTAGACACACAGCCAGATTGTCCCTTTAATTCAAAGGTACAGATCTCACGTCTAGATACAAATAACCTAGAGTTATGCAGCTAAGCAGGTCTGTCCCCTCCATGTTATTGAAAGCCAGGTTTAAATACAATAGCCAACTTTTACTTTCATTATTAACATTGGGCCACATTCTTCCCTCTGCACAAAAACTCATCACATATTACCTGCATCTCAGAAAACACAAAACATCATGGAAAAGAACGCAAGTTACATTAATAGAATTGTTTAAAATTTTAATTGAGAGCCATGTTTGTTTTGCAACAGTTTCTCAAAGGCTACGATGAAACACAAGAATAATTTTGAACTAGACTAAATAAAAGCATAAATCCCAGGAAATAATTCTGCATTTGGAGAAGTTTGAATAGAAAAGCCTGGTTTTGACTAGAGATTACCAAAAGCATTAGGGAACATCCTTGCAAAAATTCCTCCCTTCAGTTAAGGCTTTGAAAATAAAGTTTTTCAGAAGTGTGGAGCACCTCTAATCTCAAGGCAGTAATTGATAATTAGAAGTCCTTAGCATCCTTGGACATAGAGCTAGACAATTATTTTTCTAAGTAAATCTAACTTTACAGTAAAGAGTTATTAATCTTACTAAAAATGAGACTGATTCTTACTACTGGAAGCTGGCACTGTAATTACCAGTCACTCAGTTGTTCCTAATTTATTGGATGAAGCAAGTAATGCAACATTTTATGGTTGGCATTGTTTTATTGTCTAACATTAAATTATTTACACTTCTATTTTTAAATCCACAGTTTAGCATTCATACCTATGGCTTTTAATTTTATGTTTAGCACATCTTTGTGTCAAGTGTCAGGACTAATTTCAAAAGACCAGGAACCTGATACCATATAGGTAAGTTACCTATGTATTTATGTTTAAGCATATTAAGTTTCAAAGACAACAATACATAGGAGAAAACTGCTGGTATTTTTCTTCCAGCTCATGTTTAACACATTCTGCTTCTTCTATTTTATAGTGTACTTTTTAGAGAGTCCTGCGGTTTCCATGCAGAACCTGTTTCTTCCCTCAGCCCCATGCCTCTCAATTTTATGCAAAAAAGAATACATCAGTAGCTGACAATTTTAAGCAAAAATATAAAGCACTACAACATGACCTACATGGCCTTTTGCTGAAGTAGGTTCTTGAACACTCTAGGAACTTTGTGGAAATCTAGCCAGTCAATGTCGAAAAGGCACAGGATTTTTGTGCTCAGAGACCTCCAGCAACAAAGTTTTTGCCCCACAGCAGTCTGATCTGAAAATTCACAGGTACTCAATTGCCACTTACAATAGAACCCACCAGATGTTACTGATTCTTCTGCCACAGACACTCTGCAAATCTATAACGAGAGTTTTCTTCTATTGCAAGAGGAAAAGAGGTGAAATTACTCTTACATATACCCAGGGATGGTGTAACGATAAAAGATTTCATTACTAAAATCCTCAGAAAGCTGTCAATGTCTGTGGTAGTTCCTGTTGCATGGTATTACATGAATGGGAAAGTTATTTTTCACATATGAGAGAAGTTTAGCTGTACATGAAGAAAGCTAACTTTGGTCCACTTGTCCAGCTTCCTAAGGACAGCATATTGGAAAGGTGACCACTGACAGTTCAAAAACCAATGTAAAAGTTAACAAAAATAATTTGGTATTTCACTCCTAAAACTGCACAGTGTGGTTAACTGTCTTAGTCATCCACCTTTTCATTCTGTGTGTCCACTGACTGTTGAGTTTTTAAGTCTTCAGCTTGTTCATTATCTTCCTTATCTGCATTATCTACTCGACTAGGTTCCTTTTCTTGTGCTTCTCCTGGATCAACACTTTCATACTCTACTTGTTCAAGGTCTGTTCCATCTATAAGTTCTGCCTGTACTTCTTCCATCTGTATTTGATTTACATGCTCAACATGCAACTGCTCCACATGAACTTCAGCACCTTGTCCAGTCTGAATGTGTTCAACTTCCAAGTAACTAATTTGCACCTGTTCTTGCAGTTCCTCCATCTGTGTGCCTTTCACTTGATTGTCCTGTATGAGATCCTGGTGCATCTGTTCCACAGTTACCTGTGCAGGATCCACTTGTACCTGAATTACTGGCAAGACATGGACTTGCTCCACTTGTTCTATTATAGTCATTGATGTTACTGGCTCAGCTTCCACTGGAAGAAACTCTTCTGTCACTATTCGTTCTGAAATATTGTGTATTTCTTTGAGATGCCTTCTCAGCTCACTGCCTTGCATAAACCACAAATCACATAAGGTACAATGATTGGGCTTGTCACCGGTGTGTATTACCAAGTGATCTTTGAACTGATCCCAGCTGTTAAACACACTGTTACAAACCTGAAACGAAAGACACAGTATGTTGTTAAACAGCGACAACAGAAATATGACAAAGTATAGTGCCTATTTCAGATCATGGCTTCACATAGTATAGCTTCTTGCTACTTGGATTTAAAAAAAATCATTTATGTTAGCAGTAAAAGCTGAGAATTCAGCTTCAGATGGACAGAAGACCTGATATTCCTTCCTTTTTAAGAAACAGTGTGATACTTTGAGTTGTGCATACACAGGATACCTACAAAATTTAAGAGTCAGTACAGCATTTGAGTTATATTTTAACCATATGTGAAATTCATAAACAGTATCACACCCCAATAAATGTTTAGTGCCAGAGTTTTGTGTGGAAAGCTATTTTTGTAATAATACTGTACAATTAAAGCGTAATGCAAACTGTGCTTTTACCAAAGTTCTAGATGTGGTATTACTAGCCAACTTTTCCTTATCAGCTTTCATTTGCTCATGGCGCTGTGAGGTTTAACAGGCTAGATGGAACTCTCCCATTCACCCATTTCAAAAAACCACTTGAGAGATTTCAGCAGAAGAAATATCTTAAAACTCCACCCCTTTAATTCCCTTTGAGCTAAAAGTACTCCCTCACCTGCAGACACACTATTTTCACAAAACACTGAGCACACTTCCTTCCCTTCAGCTGGCACTGAGGTAACTAGCCTGAAAACAACACTGCAGAAACAATTGAGATGCCAGGGTAGAAGAGAGAAATGTGGTGTAGAGTCAGGCTTGGAGTAAAGAAACAGGCTCTTTGTCCATGCAACTGTTCCTGTCTGTGCAAAGCAGCAAAGAACACGTTTCAATGCCCCATCCCTGCTGACAAATAGTTCTGAAACAGAACGTTCTATCTTCTCATCATTTTCAGCAGCAGCACAGAAGGATAACAGGGATTAACTCAAGAACAGGTCTGTGTAGTGGAGCTAAGTATCTCCAGTTTGCTGTCTGAAGTCTGCTAAAATGGGTTTATGATGCTAGTGCCATCCATGCTTTTGTCATCCCAGGCTCATGCTTTAGAAAGAGGTTGAACATTTCTTAAAATACTAGCCTTATAGATAAGCACTC